TCAACACCCACCGAGGACAACATGAACCGAGGTCGTCACCTCCTTAAGCAGGTGACAAGGCATCTACGAGAGGCTCTCCTACTCCACAAGATCTGTCATCATTTACGTGGGCCCCTTGCCTCGAACCGCCCATAAAAAGCTACTTTATTCAAAAAAGTAGTACACGGATCCCAATATCTCAGCCCAAAACTACTATAAATAGCGGACCTGTGACAATTGTAAAGGGCTCTCGATTTGGATATACATTACCGAACTGTAAATCCTTTATTACGTAACACGTAAAAGCCCATCACGGCTCTTCACCTCGGTTCACCTCGGACCGGGGCCATTATTGGTTCAATCTTACATGCTTTACGTTCAAATTATTCCAAAGTACTCACTTAATCATATGTTACATCGTTGTTAACAACCACATAACAACATTGATGAATTTTATTCTGTATAAGTATAGATTCTATTATTGATGAATTTTATTTTGTAAAAGCTCGTCGAGCACAACTTCAATGAATATTTGAAGAAAAAATATTATGTGGTTCTTATGAATATTTAAAATTCTAGCCCAGTCTGTTCTTAATTTCTAGATCCGTCCCTGATTTTAGTTATTTTATTTTAAATACTATTTCTATATAAATTCAAAATCCGATCAACAAATTTTTCAAAATTAATCAAATTAAATCAAAAAATTCAAAAAAAAAAAAAAAATCTATATCCAAGCATCTCCGAAATGATCAAACAATGCAATTGGTCCATGTTACAAAAGTCAACATTCTGATGTCAACACGCATTTTGGTACCATTTGCTTTTCGTACCCACTCCACGCCTTTTTTTTAATTAATAAATTAAATTTTATTCAACCCCTAAAAATCTAATTATTAAACCTAGTTATGTTCTCACAACATCAATACTAGTTTAATATATAATATATTGATTAAAAATAAATGAAAGAATATGAGCTTACACTCAGTTTTCCTTATTATAGCGCAATAATGTCGATGCCATAACAGTTGCCTGAGGGAAAAAAAAAAATTAAAAAACTATCCACAATGAATAAAGCAGTATAATAACTAAACAATTTGACTAAAAATTCTAAAGCAGTTTTATTAAAAATAATTACAAATAAAAAAAATTATTACGGATTTGATGTAACATTTGAAATAGGTTTTATTCACATAATGTCAAAGAGAAATGTTACGGTCTCGTTACGGAATCTTTCCGTCGAGATTTGTAACCGTTAAATCATCATATAATTATCAAGATAGTTGATTTTAACGGTTACAAACCTCGAAAAAATGACAATGTAACGGGATCGTAACATCTCTCATGCCCAAATTTGGGTAATCAAACCCATAAAAGATGTATCCACTAAACCAAACCTTTCATTTCAGTCTTTTTCTTCTTTGCCTGTACTCCAACACCTAGCATTAAATTTGAAAATTATGTCTATTAATATATAAAAGAAGAAATTTTTATTACATACTTTTAATGTTCTTTTACGCATTTTTTTTAAGAAATTGTTGGTATTTTGTACACAAGTGTAATAACTAATATTAAGATAATGCATTAAATCTTATTTCATGACATAAATTGACTCTTCCATTGAAGTTTTTGCTACTTTTATTTATGCATTTTGTCAATCAAAAAAGCTACAAATATACCTAACCAAATTTCTGCTTTAATATTATTTTATCGCATAATTTGACTTGTTACACAATTTATTTGAAATTTGTGTTCCTTTTATGGTACTAATCATAAATGTATTCGCGTTGTCAATCAAAAAAGCTTTAAGTACACACAATTACGCGGTATTTATATCATATCATTTATAAAATATCCAACTAAATTTCTGATTAAATCTTATTTTATCACATAAATGACTTCTTGGCACATTTCTTTGATTTTTATGCCCCTTTTAATGATACCAATTATAAATTGTATTAAGCGCTATCACCCAAAAAGATAACACATAAACAACAACGAAGTATTTATATCATTTGTATGATATCTATTCCATTTTTGAATATAAGTGAAAATAAATAATGATATGCAGATCAAACGGTGAGGCAAACCATATTTTTTAAATACATATTAGAAAATGCTACAAGTATATAATAATTGTACATAGAGGTGTACATTGAGTGGAGTCCACTTCATTTTTAATTTTTGATAGGTCTCACTCAATGTGAGTGTTATGTATATGCATATGTACAATATTATCTACCTATATCATTTCCCATATATATTTATAATTTTCAAACTGAAATATCATATGACAAGAAATAACAAAATTAAAAGTATGGCATATGTTCGTAACACTCATATGAATTTTGGTTGAATATGGAACGATCCGTCTAACGACTAGACCGTCTCATACAATTGTTTGAGTTTTCGTTTGAGTATTTGAAACCTTTCACTATCTCCCTTACCAAAATACAAAAAACTTCTAAAATATCATCATCACTAGTTATAAAAGTAAACATTTGATGTCGATTCCCAATATTGCATCATTTTGAAACTTGAAGTAGTTGTTATCCTGTGCACATGCACAGATATACATAAAATATTAGTAAGTAATATTTGAGAATTTAATATTAAAATTCTCAAAAAATTGATCATTAAGAAAAATAAATTAACGATTTTATTATTATAAACAATTGTTTATTATCAATAGATAATATTAGTTTGATTATTATTATTATTATTATTATTATTATTATTATTATTATTATTAAAAAACAATTGTGTATAAGCTTCTACAGTTGTTCGACTATGCTCTTAAAACAATTTACTAATTGTTTTTTTAAAGAATTTTTTTAATGAGATACAAAAGAAAAAAGATAATATTGATGTTAATATTGAAACAATTGTTTATAATTATGTAATTTATATTTATTGTGAATTATTATTAGTTGGTATTAGAAATAACTATTATATAATATAATAGAAAAATACATGATTACACTTAATAGGATGTGTTAATGTGAGAAGTAAAAAAATATTAATGATAAATTTTGTAACTGAAAATAGAGGGAAAATTTTAGAGGTTTCATTAAATATGTAAAAT